GGGGTGAAAGGGGGAAAGGCTAGTTGTGCTTATTCACGCGATATCTGTCGACCTCTTTCCATGCTGGTGCATGTCCCTGCAGATTTAGCAGGGCGCCACTCGGCTGCCACAGCTATTTCTTTCGTTTTAATTCACATTTGACTCGCCAGTCGACCGTGAGAGAGGCTGCCCAAGCCAGAGGCAGGAATGGAAATGAACGCTTCGAACTGTGGGTTGGGTGGAGGTTTCTCTCTCTCTCTCTCTCTCTCTCTCTCTCTCTCTCTCTCTCTCTCTCTTTCTCGCTCCCCCTCTCTCCCTCTCCTCCCCCTCTCTCTTGTTCGAATGAGTATTTGTAAATTTGGTCTATTTTCTCGTTGTCTCTTGAGATGAGATTTCAGGACTAAGAAGAGACCCCCAGCGAGTTGGAGGCGCCCCCAGTCACAACGACAGGCGTATAGTTCTTCCATTCAGTAAGTGCTTCAGTGCCCAACTGAGCTTGCTGAGTGTTACTTTGAGAATTTGTCTGGTAACAAATTAGCGAAAAATGAAGTACTAGAATGTATTAAATGTGATGTTTACAGTTAAAATGGTCAGATGAGATTTGTTGTTGGCAAGAGTGTTTTTTTTTCTTTACCATCTCAACCTCAGGCTTAAGCGTTTGTATTAACATGTGTACAGACAAGAGAAAATATTCATTCAAGAGAGTTTTAAACAAAGTCACAATGCAATATTTACCCTCATTAAAAATAAGAAACTGCTCAAGTTGCAATTACCGGTACATCTTCAAAAATACCCACTATAGACCTGTAGCAAAATAGCAGGGAACCCTTATGGGAGAACACAATAAATGTGTACACGCATCTACACAGCAGTGAAGAGATTAAGAAAGACCCCGCTAAATGACAAAGAGAAATAACCAAGAAACACATAGGAACATGTCTCCAGTCGGTCAACTTCAACCGCTGTCTTCACTATTCAGTTCTGAGTTAAGGGTAGTGGATTGTATACATACTTCCACCCGCAGTGCAATACAGCATATTATACGGCCTGCTATTCTTTTCAAAAAGTGTTTGCTTTTTTTGAGTACCCAATCTATCTAGAGGCCCAACAGTGGTTCTTTGATGATGACGTACACAGTAGCTTGTGAGATGCAGATCAAAACCAAACTCATAACCGTTAAAGAGAACTTTGTTTCAAGATATTTGTTTTGGATGCCATGATTTTAGTCAGAATCTTAAAAAGTGTTGTTGCAAGAAGCTCTTTTAACCAACACATTTCTCGTTCAACTTAAAAAGAAAAACGAGATCGCAGCTCTTGCTTTTATAAACGGATTATTAGATACCATATAGACAAGTCTGAAGCAGAAGGTTTGTTACCCTGTCAAGTCAGCGAATGGAGAGAAAGTATTAATGATAGAACAAGACAGATAATTTAAACTTTGAGCCACGAATTTCTCCAAAACAGATTGCATTGACCGGTGTCTGTGGTGAAGCAGTTGGGCACTTCACTGTTGCACACACGGAAGACCCGAGTCCGATTATCCCAGAGGGGAGAATTTTTATCGAGTATCTCGGTGTTCCTGTTGGGTTGTTATATCCCTCTCAGTCTGGGTTGGTCCTGACAGGCAGGGTCAAAGCCCGTCTCCTAGACGATCTAAATTGTGTCGATGGGGGGAGTAAAAACATATGTACTTTTTAAAAAATTCAATTTTTAATTGCTACACCCCAACAGCCAGCGCACAAATACGTGTATTACGTCACGAACAGTGAATTTATGGGGCAGTCCAGGAGAGTTGTCAGCCCCTACCGTGAACCCGGAAGTCCATGAAGGCAGAGCAGTGCAGCAATACGTTCTCCAGCAGCGTCTCTGACGCCACCCCTACGCCACACACGAGACTTGCCGGGCCTTTCCGGGACTAGCCGGGGCTCATCTAATCAGGGGCTGACGCGTCTGATGAAGTGAAAAATAAGGTGATTACTCTACTCGTCTCTTTCACACACGACGACAGCCTAGGAAAGCCCCCCCCACACCCAATCACACACACACTACCCCTTTTTCCTCTCTTTTGTTTTCCGTCTTTTTCCTTCCTTTTTGTATTTAAAAAAAGTATTTCACCCACAGAAGACGTTAACTTCACCTTGCCTCCTTGTCTCTGTTCTATTCCTCTTCTGCCCTTTCAGCATGCTGTCGCAATGTTCACATATTTTATTTTTTGATTTTTTAAAAGTTGCAATTTCTCAATCCCCATTTTCTGGCATACCCCACATCCATACCCTTTTCCCCTCCATCATTGTATGAAGGCTTTATACGTTAAAAAAAAATCTCAATAAGTCAACTCCTGTGTAATCGCAGTCTACCTGTTTATTCACAAATCAATAGTTTTGCTATACACAGTCTCTTTCACGCACACGCACACGCACACATACACACACACACACACACACACACACACACACACACACACACACACACACACACACACACATACACATTTTTCGACTCCACACAACCTCTACTCTGTCGTCGAATGAATCAACTTGTCTTATTGAATCATCATCAGAACCGTCTCAGACCTGGATAAGTGAAAATACAAACCAAATTGGAAAGAGTGTTACGTTTACCTTGAAAACAGATATCGAGAAGATTGAATATTGGACTCTCGCTCAAAGTGAGCAAGTTAACTGAATATTAACTTAAAAGAAAAAAAATCATTAATGGTTTTTAAACTAAATATCAATGTCGTAACCTAGATCTAGATTATCATGTCTCTTGTCTTTCCAGCGTTTGTAATTACCTTACAGAGGTTGCTTGTGTAACCATTAGGCACTGCGTTGTCGCACACAGGAGACGCAAGGTTGTTTCTCGCGTGGGTAGTATTTTTAAGGAGTACATTTGTATATCGGTCTGTCTGCTGGAATGTTTATCCCTCCCAGCTCAGGCAGGGTCGATGCCCTATTTTTAAAGTAACTAAATTGTATCGACGAGGGCGTAAAACCAACATTAGAAAAATAACGAACATTACAGTCTATTTGTTGAGCTGAACCCCCCCCCCCCCCCCCCAACAAACATACCAAGGAAAAATCAAGCAAAACGAAGACAAAAGCGAAAACAAGCAAATCTTTCACGCATGTGGTAAGCTCATCTTTATTCCGGGCGATGACACGACAGTGTGTTCATTTTGAATCCAGATGGATATTCCAGTCTGATTTACTGTCAGTTGAAGAAAAATAGATATCATAATGTTAATTATGGGATGTCCCGTGTGCCTCATCTGGACTTTCACTTGGCAGGCACTGAAAAACAAGAAAAGAGAAACATGAGAAAAGGAGAATGAGGGGGGGGGGGGTGTCATTGAGAGCATGTTTCTACTCACAGCTTAATACCTTTTCTAAATAGAATTTCAACTTCCAAAATATTGCTAAACACGTGCTGTAATGTGTTTATAATCGTTCTCGCTGCTTCCAGAGTAAATAACCGTGCCTACTGCTGACAGCGGGCAGAACAAATTTGTTTTGACTTCTCAGCACGCTTGCAAGGGCTTTTCACACAAGCGCACAATTGTTTTCCTATTGCTTTTCGTCACAGCAAGTAATCACAACTGGTAGCCGAGCTCACGCCGACTCGCACCTTGCCCAACGAAATGTTTACATTCCGGTCACGTGCTTTCATTGCGCATGCTCTTCACCTGTCCTGCCTCATTCCACAAGCGCAACAAGACCACGATACGGTTATCACTCAAATTTGTACACCCATGAGAAAAGGGCTGCTGGTCTTAGGAAGCTGGAAGCCTAGTTTGCCACTAGGGGTCTCCACGGGGACCCCCTGGTGGGTCCAATCTGGGGAGAAGTGCACTCCGTCTCCGCTGGAAACCTCCCCAGTTTTATCTCCGACCGCTCAAGAAACCGAGATGAAGGTCCCAAGACGAGAAGACCAGACGGTAGGCTTGCACCCAACTGCGACGATCTTGAACGTCGCTTCGCAACACGACGCCAAGCAAAACGAATTGTTTTACGATCAAAACACAGAGTATGTAATCAAATACCATCCTATGTATGAGTTTTACATGAAAAGTCGTGTTCGTGACAGACACCACTTTTTATGACATGGCGTCTTTCTATGTTTACTACAAGTTTGAGAATATGTTCTAAAGAAAACTGATTTTCTTAATGCTGAAACTGTGAGGAAAGGATTTAGTGGTTCCTTCTTCTCACTGCCCCCCCCTCCCCTCTTTTTCCCCCTTTGGACCAATCCGCCCGCTCCAAGGCAGCCTCGGGCGGATGACAACAGAGTAATACATGTTATACATTTGTGATTGACTGACGGCACAGCTGAGCTACGTGGCTGGGACTGGCAGATCTTGGCAACATATCTAGCGCATCTGTATAACGAAGAAAGGTTCAATAGATATTCTCATTCCAGATCTATGTGTTGAGCTAAATTTCTCTGAGTGTTAAGGTAAAAACGTTCGGCGGGTATCTGTTATTAGGGTTGCAGTTAAGTTGTAACATCGGGGTGCAAAGTTCTGGATGTGAGTTGCGAGTCTGTACCACGGGATCGTGAAGCCGTCAGATCTTTTTAATTAAAAGGTTATAAACATTGTTGTAGCATTCTTATTTTCTGAAACTGTAAACTGACGCAATATTATGCGTCGAACTGAGCTTATTAATATGAATCCGAAACACGAGTAATAGGGTTTGGGGGAGTAAAAGGGTAAGGTACTCGTACAAGTATTATTTTGAGTCAGCTACCTTAGGCCTGTTGTTGGAGAAAAAAATACTCTCATCTCTATACAGACGGGTCATATTGAAGAAAAACGTCTCTCTTTCTCTAGTTTCGAGATCCATTTTCCATCCTAAATGTAGCTAAAGATAACACAACGCTTAGAAACAATGTAAATCTCTTTCTTAAATTGGAGAACACATCAGTAGAAGCCCCACCGAGGGGGGTCAAACGAGCTTTATTTATTTATTTATTTTGGTAAGTGTTTTACGGCGCTCGCAACTGCATAATGTCATATGAGTGCGCGGGACATATTATACATTTTCAGTTAACAGACATTAGAAAGAATTCGAAAAGATTATAAAATGAATACAGGTACATAAATTTATTTGTTTGTGTTGAACCGTCTGCTGTTGAAACACACAAACAAGACGTACGACTGAGAATTGGTTGGCGACCATCTATGTTCATATATATGTAATAACAGAAATTCTTAATAAAAAACTGATGAGTTTCTGTTTGAGTCAGTGGGGCAAAAACCAAAAATCACCGCGAACATTTTGACAACAGAGACAAAGACAGAGCTGAAAACTCCACGGAGCTTTTGCCACCTTTGTCCACACGCTAGTCAAATTGTTAATTTTAAACTGATTGACATAATATCTTTTTGTAAATACAACTTAGACGCCAGTCTTTAAAAAAAACACACAACTATTTTAGCTTCTGTCTGTATTTATATTCCTCTGTCTATCAGTTTTTCTGTCTCTTTGTTTGCGATAGTGGACATAATAGATTCCTTCACTTTTCTGTTCGTGACCTTGTGTGTCTGCCATTTAAAAATCAACAACCCGTTCGTCCATGGCTTTCGTTTTCTTTCAGTCAACTTTCTTTTTACTATCTTAGATTTCGAGAAATTCAACCCGATACATTAGTTTTAAGATCAACGGCATGTCTTGCTTTATTGTGAACCTAAAACTTCTATTTCACAGTCAGATCTTTTGAAGTAGCTTTTTATCTTCTTTTTTCTTGTAAATTACTGCATTTTTCGGTTCACGCTTCCAGATGCAAATACGATCTCACATTGTTTTACACGGCTAAGCAGGAGATAAGCCTTCCCCTGGCGCGGTAGAACACAGACTTAGGCATAAGAAGTTCTTATCACCACTTCATAACTTCGCCGTTATCTTTTTTCTAATCCTTTCCGTAAAATCTTTTTTGCATCTTTCTCTCTCATCGTCGCTTCAAACGAACAAGATGAAACGCTTTCGCCCATGACATGCCGCAGACAGGAGTGCAACCGCTCCGTGACTGTTACTACTAAGATACAGACATTCGGGGGAAAAAGTCGTCCAGAAATTCAAGAATTTAGCTGTGCATTACGGAGGTAGAAGTAAAAAGAAAGGGAACTAATCTTAACTCAACTTTTCTTGAAAAGTAATCACGACTGAATAAAAGGGTTTTAATGTCTCGAGGAAGAGGCTGGTGTTGTTTTTTCCCAGTGTTCGGTAGATACCCCGCTAAAGTATGTCTTTGTAATTTTGTAATGTAACATTTCCAAATCTTATACGCGTTTTCAGTTTTCAACTTCTCAACTATGCGCTCACAGAATTATATAAAAATTGTCTCAAAACTTTCTCCAACTTGCTTTTCAGTCTTTCACCCCTGGATCCGTGAAAAAAAAGTGGCAACAGGGAGGAGGGACAGAAACAGAAACAATATTAAAAACAATAATAGCAGTACATGTTACCGAACTACGTCAATTGCAAAAAGAAACTGTCTGTCTGTCTGTCTGTCTGTCTGTCTGTCTGTCTGTCTGTCTGTCTGTCTGTCTGTCTGTCTGTCTGTCTGTCTGTCTGTCTGTCTGTCTGTCTGTCCGTCCGTCTGTCTGTCTGTCTGTCTGTCTGTCTATCTGTCTGTCTGTCTGTCTGTCCGTCTGTCTGTCTGTCTCGCTCTCCTCGTATCTCACCCTCCCCTATCCGTCTCACTCCCCCCCCCCCCGTCTCTCTTTCTCGCCCCCTCTCTCCTCTCTTGGTCTTTCTGTCTCTTGCCATCTTACTTAGGCTCTTTAGTCTTTTCCTCTGTCTTTCCTTTCTCTCGCATCCCTCACACTCTCTCCCCTTCACGCAAACTTACACACACACACATACACACACACACACACACACACACACACACACACACACAAACACACACATACGCTCATGCACACGCATAAGCACGCATACACACCCTAATAAACACATAATCCAACTTCATGACGGTCCCTGAAATAGAACTAATAATATAATATTTATAAACTCCTCTACCTCTCCGCCCATCATCTAAACACCTACGCTTTTCCGTCCTCCTATAATAGAGATACATTTGATATATCATTCTGTACACAGAACTTAACGGCGACTTCTGTTTCTTGGCGTTCCTGACCTGCAGGCCATTTATGTATCATTTATCCGATTTTTCGGTCAGTTTTATACATTCATCGGCAAAACCCCAATCTCTCTTTTCACAGAAGTTACTCCCTTTCATCCCCCAACTCACCCACCCACCGTGGCACGTTAAAATAATATCTTTTCAGCTCGATCTTCCATTCTCTTCGGAAGGTAAGGGTAATTAAGAGGCGAGGTAAGAATACTTTTTACATTTAAAAAAACTCCCAACCCAACCTGAGAGTTATATATCATTTCTTATTGTTTCCATCAGCCACAAATTCTCATAAAAAGGAATACACGCACATGCACTGGCACTTGCACAGTTTTAAGAAACGGACTTTCTTAATTAACTAATACCCAGTGCCCATCGGCAGAATTAGGTCAGGTCGGGCCGGGCCGGATCCGGTCGATTAATGTCAGCCTCAGTGCACACTACGGGTAGATCCATCCCCTACTCCCCAAACCCCTTTATTGTTTTAAATTGGATTAAAAAAAAAAAACACCTTTGACTGGTGCGGGTGTTATTGTACAGAAAACTTACCGGTCGGAGAACAGCTATTTCCTTCAATGATAGTATCAGGTGCTTTCTGACTTGATTCCTGGTACTGACACATTTCGCGGTTGCTGTGTTGGGATGGGTTTTTTTCTATTCTTACAAAAATGGGGCATGTCGATAGCTTTCTAGATCTATCAGTAGCAGCCTCTCCAAATTTACACGCGGCAAAATGACTGATTTTGTGACTCGTAGGCTACAAGCGTTGTGATTGGTTGTTCACATCCGACGGCTACGACAGGTTCGACACGCGTCCTTGAAAAATATATTCCTTTGGTTTTAACGTTAACAGTCGAAATCAGTCGAATTAGGTCGAAAGGAAGCAAAATCCGACAGAATCAAATGAATTAAACTGGTGGTGTACGCTAGGTATAACGGTGCTGGCCGTGCATGCAATTTCTCTTGCCCCTTACAGCTTTCCATGTTTGCAAAAAAAGTGTCTTTCCCTTACAAGGACTAGAACTCTGTACTGTAATGGGAAAGTATCCCAAATCGAGTGTTCAAACTCTACTGAAAGATGAACTGCTAATATCAGACTGTTTTTGGATTGCGGGATACCGTGTAGAAAGAGAGAAGGTGTCAACTCTAACAC